AACCAATAGTAACGCCTCATTTCTGCGGATATCTGTATACAAAACCTACCAGGTACAGTCTTGTCGCTGCGGATGGTGAAGCGAGTCAAACGGGATGAGTTTGGCGTGGCGCCAACCTTTTTTTTCTTTCGGCGAAAGACAAGACTGCATCAAACATTCCTATGAGCTCTTTTCCACCAGTTCTTGTCACTTAGCTCCTTCAGCAACAGATGGAGAACGGATTGGCGGCACCCAAACCCTGCCCCACTGACACGCCCTTCTTTCATACCGAACAAGACTGCACGACCGTTCCATTCTCGTCTCCGTACAGGGATGTCCGCGCCGCTCCAGAGTCAACCTAGCCTTTCATTAGAAACTCCTCAAAGGCGACTTACAGCTGCTGTCTGAACGTCGATTTCCTCGAATATTTTCTTGGCGGTCTTCGTGGACACTTTGAGACGTTTCTTCTCACCAAGTTCCTCCAACTGATCGGGTTGAAATTCAGCAGTGGATGCGCCTTCAAGTCCACTCTTCAGTTTCACATCACTAAAACAAGCGCAATTACCAAATGGAATCATATTTACCCTGAATAGTTCCACATACCCTCTTCCGAATTCTGCAAGGGTACAGTAGGCGTCCTCGAGTAACGATGAGATTTTCAAATCTCTTCCACGTTTGAACTTCCTTTGTGGAATAATAGCTCTGTGGAGATCATTGTAATTCTCCGAACAACGACTGACTTGAGGAACCTGAAGTAACCTGGAATTCGAAAAAACAGCAAAGTCTAGGCTAATTCAGTCGTTAGAAGCAAGCAGGGTGGTGCTGGGCTTATGAAGGGGGGCAGGTTGCTGCTTTGTTTGTTGTGCTTGTTTAGTCCTTGCAGAATTACACAGTTCACCTTGGTGTGACCTGTAGACCCTTGCCAAGCGTAAACTCCTGCTATTGCATAACTTTACAGGAGTTTGCATTCCCTTCAGGAGGCACTGACGTTAATCGACGGGAACCAAGAAATGCCCCACCAAGCGAACAGCGCCACAAGTAGCAACACTGTAGAGCTTCAAGTTGGAGCAATAGGAGGAGCGGTTACGTAACAGCGTTAGTTTCGGTAAATATTCCACGACACAATGGGTGTATGTCTCCACCTATGCGATTACCGCGGAACATGTGATTCAGTGCTTCTGAGCCATGATGAGTTAACGTCATGCTGTGTGTGCGTATGCGACATGACTGAGGCAAGCCGGTCACGGGAAACTTACAGTTATCTTTGTAAACTGGGATGACCGTAATGCAGAGCACCCTTTTGCACAACGAAGCAGGTTCACCCACCCCGAAAAAATCCTCAAGGAAGTTAACGCCCCTCTGTAAATGACATGAGCCAAACTTTCCCTTTTCATAAGGTCCGAACCAGATCTATAAAAAAGCCGGGGAATCACACAAGCATTCGACGCGTCAATTACCACCAAAGGACTGCATCAACATAGGAAAAGATCTGGAACTGACCTTACTACAGCTCTTATTGTACTGATAGTCAATATACGACTTGATATAATCGGCACGGCTAGCCTTCGTATCCATAGCCATCTTTACGAGCCACTGAAATCATAGATTTACTCTACTCAAAACAAATCTTCAAAGGCCATCGTCCCTTCCATCAGTTTTGACAACACCCATGTCCTTACTGCAGCTTAGACCTCCTGCAAACGAGGTAATGCGATAAACGAAACGGAGATTGGTAGAAAACATGAGCGTCAGCGGCTAGACTCTAAAAACGGAACGAAGCATGGTCCTAAGAACCCGTCCAGAAATACCAGTG